TCAGCACACTTACTGTCCTACACACACACACACACACACACACACACACACACAGAGCAGTCCGTGGGGGACAGTGACCCCGAGCCCCAGAGTCTCGTCTGCAGGTCCGGGAGACAGCATGGAGGGCAGGGAGTCGTCGGAGTCTTGTGAGGAAGGGTCTCTGGAGCCAGGTGGGCAGCAGGGCAGGCGATGTCCTCCGTCCGGCAGGCAGAGCCCCGGTGGCCAATGCCAAGGGAAGTTGGAGTGGCGTGGGGCAGCCCCTGGGGTGCGGGGCTCAGCTCAGTCGTACCTGGAAAGGGGTGGACTCCACCCTTCCGGGTCTTTCCGATAAATGTCTAGGTGCCCCTACTGCCCAGTGGGGACTCTCCCCAGGAGTCTGTCTGCGGGGGGGGGGGGTCCCACTCTGCAGACACAGGTGTTCTGACCACGTGGGCAGATATCTGGGGTGTGTCCCCTTGTCAGACGTGTCTGCTCTGACTTAGGTGGTTTCCCTCTTGAACCAAAGCGTCATGGCCAACTGGTGGCCCTGTTGGTTGACAGAACGACTCCACTTTGTTTTGTACACTTGATGCTGTCTTGGCTAGACCAGCGCCATTTTGTCGGTCCTGCTCTCCACGTTCACCTCTTCTCAAAACCGTTCCCGCTCTACTCAGCCAATAACTCTGTAATTAACTCTCAGAAGGAACCTCATCTACCAGCCTGACTGCAGCTGCACGTCTCTTGCCTCCCTTTGTGAGATGAAAACAGCAGCCTTCCTGCCAACAAGGAATCCGTCCGCTAGTGCTCAGTGTCCTCCTCCCCCAAGGCCCTCCCTCTCTTGGCCCTGCCGTCTCCCGCTCCGTCAGCTCTTTCTCCCGCAGCGTTCACCCCATTTCTCCCTAAAGCCTCTCCTGAAACCTCACTTCTGTTCCAGCCACTCTATGGACCCTCGTTTTATTGAGGTCACCGTGACTTATCCCTTGCAAACCCAGAGGACACTTCTCCGTCCCAGTTCTCTGACTACGACCCAGCCTGAAACACTGTCCCCCTCTTGGTATGCAGAAACTGGCTCACTCCGGCCTCCTGCAGCTCATGACCCGCTTCTTCTCAACTTTAAGTTCAGCGATGCCACATTGTAACCTGCAGTTGGCCACGGTAGGAGTATTGACACCATGGAAATGGGCACACATCTTCCATCAGATCTTTTTTCCCGGAGAGCTGGTTATTTACCAGAGCACCACTGCCCCCCAAACACCCGGGGTCCCGCCACTCCCTCCTTCGGACCTTGTCAGCTTTTTCGGGGCCTCTTCTAAATGGTCCCTGTGTGTCCAAGTGCCCCATTGTTTTGCCGTGGGCTCTCTTTTCAATGTTGGGTGTTAGGTGTCAGCCACAGGCATCCCCGGAGCCTTAAAGACTCTCAGAAGAATGATTTAGGTCTGTGACCGTAGGGATCAGGTAGCAATCTGAAGATGAATTCAATTAAGTAGAAGACTGAATTCAATCAAGTGGCAAATACGTCGTTTCCTTTGAAGAAATTGCCCCTGGCTCACACCAAGCCCTGAAAGAGACTGAATGCCTGACCGGCCACCCCAAATGGACTGAAGTTATTTGAGCTACTGAGACACAGCTTGGGGCGTGCGAAACAGCCCGCCACAAGCGAGTGGGAGCAGGACAGGCGGATTGGCCACTGGCGAGTCCGAGAGCACCGGCTCTCTGTGCTTCCTCACAGCTTCCTCTGCCTGCCCCTTGAACCCCACCTACGGCCCCTGACGAATTCCCTAGGACCAACGGATTAGGGAAAAAAAATTCAAGTCCAGCTCACACACAGGTCACGGTGTGCTGGTCACACCTGGAAGTGGGCTGCCCAGTGAGCTGGCCTGGCCGCGGGAGCCATGAGCAAGCGCAGGGAAACCCTCCCAGCAGGCCGGCCGGGTGCCTGGGCGGAGCCAGTCTGACTGACTCATGAGCAGTCGCCCGAGCTGGGGCTGGGTCACTGCATCCGGGGCTGGGGCCCCTGTGAGAACAGCCTTGGGCAGCTACAGGGTGGACTGCATGTGTTTTCGTGCATCGGGAATTAGCCTAAATGCATCCAGGTATGATGCATCGTGGGCGAACCGAAGACACAGTCATTGCAATCATTTCTCTACGGTTCCGTTCGGTTGCAGAGCCTGAAGCGTGCAGGGCTGGGCGAGGGGCCAGGGGCTTGGGAAGAGCAGGACAAGGAAAACTAGTATTTGACTCAGCAGCAAAGTCGCCTACGTCACTGACTAACAGGTGGCGTTCCCGCATGCGCCTCTGCTGTTTGATTTCTTCTGACTCCTGGGGAAATGAAAAGGCCAGCGAGCATTCCGGCCAGAATGGCACGAGCTCATCGGTTTCGCCCCAGGCTGGCTCGGGACGCAAGAATTTGGCAAACATCAGCTGAAGCTCTGTTGAGAATTAACTATGTGTGTACAGTGTATAATGAAGACTCTTATACATTTTATTCTTTGTAAATGGTATGCTAGGCATCTTTTATATCAGTAAAATTTATATAAACGTGTGTGTGTGCCTTTCTTTTCTTTGGAGAGCTGCTGGTTAAACTTTTACCAACATACCACTAATCAGAGGTGACAAACATAGGCCAGCCCGGGGTTCATGGGGACCTCTGACGTAGTTGGTTTGACCTACACAGTGTCACCTAGAGCAAGAAACAAACAAAAAGGCAGAATAGGGTGCCCGCATTTACTAATTGTGAGATTCCACGTAAAAACCCGGAACTCCTGATTCTCTCTAAGGATCATATCTGTCCCCATTGTACTCTCCCGTGCAGACACCCGGCCGGAGCTGTCCTCCTGTGGCCCTTTCAGATTGCCGCCACCCCCACGCTCCCTGGTGTCCCTCAGGCCTGCAGCCGAGCACCAAACGCCACCCCTCCCCCCACGTGTGGGTTTTCTCGCTCCTCATTCACCCTTGGTCAGGGCAACCTGAACTGCGTCTTTAGCCCAGAGAGCCCGTGACCCTGAGCTCGATTTCTAACCACACTGCTCCCCATTTTTATTGACTGAAGTCTCACTGACCCCCAATTACTTCTCACGAGAATCACTTAAATCCCAGGTGACAGGACTTTGAAACTATGAAAAGCCACCAAGTGCAAGATAGCCACATTCGGATGCTGAGAATGTCTAACATCATTTAATTTTACACTTCCTTAGTAAACGTCCATCAAAATCCAAAGTTTCACACTTTGAGTAACAAATGACAGTAAGTAGATTTATCATGAATCTTTCAAGTTACGTCCTTCTTGCCTCCCTTTGCCGAGTCCCTCCTTGTCTTTTTCTGTGACTTCAATCCAGAAGCCACGGAAATGAGGTAATGTCAGTAATGAGGTCATTATGTTTTTCTATTAAAATTCACACTCTGGTCTTCGCTGTGGCCTAATTTAAACACTGACATTATGGACTCGTGCTAATTAGCCCAGACGGCCAACCCCCACCGATGAAGCGGATGTAGACATTTCGGCATCTTCCAGTCACACCACGACGGATGTGAACGAAAGGCATCCACCCCAAGACACCCTCCTATTTCCTCATGAAACAATTTCTTCTAATTTTGCTGCCTGGATGCGACGCTGTTTAATTTGCTTGCACTCTGAGTCTGGACTTTTCTACCACAATTGCCACGGGTTCTGTACATTCTAATGGCCAGTCGGGCCCCTGTGAGGGAAGCATTTCTTTGTACAGTGATGAGTCAGTTTCATTTTTAAAATATCGCCTCGGCCCCAGGCCGGTGTGGCTCCGTGGGTTGGGCGTCGTCCCACGAACCAAAAGGTCGCCGGTTCAATCCCTGTTTAGGGCACGTGCCTGGGTCGCCGGTTTGGTCCCTGGTTCAGGGCACGTGCAAGAGCAAGCTCATTGATATATCTCTCTCACGTCGATATTTCTCACCCTCTCTTTCTCCCTCCCTTCCTCTCTCTCTAAAATAAAAAATAAAGTAGTCTTTAAATGTTGCCTCAGTCCCTTGTACCCACATAACTAAAACCACTTTGTGCTGACTGTGTCATGGGGCATGTCTTACCTTCCCACGCGTGAACCTCCGAGTGGACTGGGTCCCCCAGGCCCTTCCATTGTCTATCCGTCAGACGAACACTTCAGCCAAGGGGTGGCGACGTCCGTGATGTCTTGCCCCCGGTGTGGTTAAACGTGGCTCCAATGGTGCTCACCTAAGTTCCGGTTCTGGGGCAGGGGGAGGGGGAGGGGGAGGCGGGGAGTGGGAAGAGTGACCACCGGGTCGATGGCAGGAGGAGGCCAAGAAGCAGAAGCGAAAGAAAGAGGAGGAGACCGCCCCCGGGCCCAGGAAAATCTGGAGGCGTGTGCGATTGGTCTTGTATCCCCAGTGTTCACTCCATTCCCCTCCTTGAACTCTGGTGCCTTCATTTGGTCCTAAGTTCCCACCTTATCCGGGCCTCCCCTCAAATATGCTCACAAAACTCCCTTTTCTCAATGCATCTGCTCTTAGCAAGGTATTTGGAAAATACGAGACTAAGAGAACCTCACAGTTTTGTGGAGCTCACAGTCCCGAGACCTCTGAAATCTGTCATTCTCTGCTTAGGAGAACATTCCTGGCCTGTGACAACACGCAGCAGAACACGATGAAGACTGTGTTCTGAAGGGAGACACCCTTCCCAGGGGTCGCCCCCCCACGCCAAGCTCCGCTGAGCCCCTGGTGGGCACAGCTCACTCCGTTTCTGCCCCTCGTGACTCCACAGCCTGGAGGGGCAGCAAGGACCTGGCCTCCAGCTGGCCCTCAAGACGAGTATCTGGATGGAGCTGAGCCCGGTTTTGGTTTCCTTTTATTTTGTTTTCCAAAACAGCTGCCACGGTTGGGCAGGGCGCGGGGCAGGGCGGGCTGGTCACTTGCCTGTGCGGCTCTTCAGGGAGGGGACACTATGGGCAGGGGCACCCATGACCTCATTCCCAGGTCTGGTCTTCAAGTCATCCCCTGTGGGCCAAAGCTCCCGGTGGTCGGCCACAGTGACAAGGTCAGTAAATGAATGTGACCACGTAGCTGTTGTTGCTCAGAATGGGGAAGGTTTTAGAGTCAGAAAAGTAGGGGATGTTGTCAGCAATGCTGGCCATACTCTGGACGCTGTACGACTTTAGGGACAATGGCCTGTTGAAAAGGGCCGTGCCCAGGACTGCTACAAATGTGCACCCGTGTGCGGTGGGCTTCCCTGGGGCTTGCCCCAGAGAAGTGAGCTCTGCTCCTTCGTGGTGCCCAGCCTCCGCACTGACGCGAAGTCTCTTCGGACCACAGACTGCGAGGTAGTCCGTGGGGAAATGTTAGCGCTACACAGAGACAGCCTCAGGTCTGGACCAGCGTGAAGTTCAGCTGGAGGCCCAGGGCGGGGGACCTGGTGAGCCAGAGGGTCAGACGGCCTCTGTTGCTGGCGGGCACCTCGGCCGAGGGCAGGCTGGCCAGGCTGTAGTCACAGCCCTGGATGTCTGTGGGCAGCTGCGCTTCCAAACGCTGTTCTCCTTGGCGTGCCGTTCCACTGGCGCCGTGCCCAGCGGCCAAGTGCAAGGATGCCCAGGGTGCTGGGCAGCAGCAGGAGGCTGTGCCCAGAAGCTGGAGCCTTTCCTGTCCCGGCAGCCAGGCCAAGTTTCCCATGTTGGCCAGCTCATGGGGACACACCTGGAAGACAGTGTGCAGCTTTGTCACCGCTGTTCGAGAGGCGCTGCTTGTGGGAAAGTCACGCGGGGAACTCGGTCTGAAACCTCTGACCCGGACAGTCCAGAGCTAGCAACTGGGCCCTGCAGGGAGGGTGGGGGGCGGACCTGGGAGGGGAGTCTGGGGAGCTAAACATGGGTCCACGAGGACGGCGACAGGGGAAGGGGGCCAGGCAGACAGGCCAGACTGAGGGCACGAGATGACCCCGGGAGGTGGCAAGGCAACAAGAAACCGAGGGGGCCAAGGGAAGAATGCCGTCCCACGGACAGAGAGGCTGCAGTGCAGAGGGTTAGAAATGAGCTCAGCCAAGAAAATCGGAACAGAAGGTGCGAGGCCGGTGCTCACAGCAATCGTAACATCATTCAGTCACTCAACAAACGTTTGCTGGGCATTTACTGGCTGGCTGGCACCTTGCTGGCCCCCGGCATGCAGCCCGGAGTGCGACAAGGAGCCTACAGGGAGGGTGCTCTGAGGGACCCCATTCCTCTCGCGGAGCGCAGGGCAGGCAGCCGCAGCGGAGGGAGGCAAAGGCGGCAGGCAGCGGGGCTCAGCACGGGCCACGACCAAGGACGAGCAGGAGGAGCAAAGGCGAACACCACCTGAACCCGGCCCCCCAGAGCCCCATGTGCAAAGGAGGAAGACAAACTGAGAAAGGCCCTACCTACAGTTATAGGAGCCCAGCGAAGCCCATCAAGTCCGTTTGGAAGACGGGATAAGGAGCTCCCTTGTGTTTTGTGCATATTTTGAAGTTGGCACAAGATTTTCTCAAAGGGTTTATTCATTGTTCACTTTATGATAAGAGAGAGGCTTTGGGAAATGTGTGGGCCAGGATTCCCCCCGAAGGTGAGGCTACACAGAGTTAAACGGTTTCGCGACCCGGTGGCGACTGTCCCACTTAGGGAGGCACGGTGCACAGCGGATTAATTACAAGAGGATGTCAGATGATCGGCCGTCCCCGATTCCTCTGCAGGTTTCTAGGACTGCACGTCCCAGTAACCCTGTCATCCAGAGCTGGGTGCTGCTGTCGGCGCCACTGGCCTTGAAGGGAAGGGAGAGACAAGACTCGGTCTACCACCCAGAGCCCCGTTCTCGCAGGTGCTGACACCGTTCGGGGGCACGCGTGGATGAAGCAAGGGGGTGGGAAGGGGGCACGGACATTGATTTCCTGGTGGGAGCGGAGCCGGAAGGCCCTAAAGGGAATTCGTGAGCAAATTCCCAATAGTCAAGGTCCCTGGCTGGGCTGCTGGGTCACCCTGCATCCTGGACATCGGGGAGCCCAAGGCCAGAGCTGGATGTCAGAGGCGGGAAGCCTCATGGAGGGTCCAGGGCGGGGCAGACAGTTCTGGTGACCACTGTGGACAGTGGTGGACATTCCTTCCGTGTCACCATGGATTTCTGCCAGTGGGTTTGCTGAGCATAGACCGTGGACACCCCACTTTCACCCCCGCCCTTGGCTGTGTCCCTGCCTGGTGTAGGGAGGGGACAGAGGAGGTGGGTCTCAATGACGGAGCACACAAAAGCTGGCCTGCTGAGGAGACAGCACGTCCAGGCGGGTCAGCGGGCGCCGGCGCGCAGGGCCCTCAACTCCTCCCCCCAGAGCCACAGCCCGCCAACCTCCGTCCACGTTCGGATTTTCCAAACCCTGGCCGCCCTCGGCCAACTGCGTAGGTAAGTTTCCGTTTCTTTGTCCCACTCTGGAAACAGTCCCCTGCTCAGCCGCTGCCTCCTCCATGAAGTTTATACACACCTTCCACTCTCAGGGGCCGTCAGGTACAGACTTCACATCTCGTACAAACTGGCATCACAGTGACCGTCATGCGGCGCCGTGGCTATGGCTCCGAGCGTCTCTTCCCCTGGGGTGTGACCCCTGGAGGAGCTCTGACTGGCCTGATGTCCTCGCTCCCAGCGTGGTGGTGGTGCCCAGCACACAGCAAAGGCTCTGCAAATGTTTACTGAGTGAATGGGAAAAAAAAATCACAGTGGATCAAATATCAGCATAGTAATGCTTTTTAACTGCTTGTTACAGAAATCGAATTCGGGCTCTCTTGAGTAAAGCTCACAAACAACACCTGGTTCACATATTTTAAAAAATCAAGAAAGGCCCTGGCTGGTGTGGCTCAGTGGTCTGAGTGCCGGCCTGTAAACCAAAGGGTCGCCAGTTCCATTCCCAGTCAGGGCACATGCCTGGATTGCAGGCCAGCTCCCCAGTAGGGGGCGCATGAGAGGCAACCACACATTGATGTTTCCCTTCCTCTCTTTCTCCCTCCCCTCACCTCTCTCTAGAAATAAATAATAAATAAAATCTTTAAACAAAATCAAGAGAGGATGTCAGGTATGAGTTGACCCAGGTTGTTAGGGACATCTGTCCCCTTCCTGGTTTCACTTTCCTCTGTGGTGGCTTCATTCTCAGATGCAGTCCCCCCTCCGAGGAACCAAATGAGCTTCAGGTTTCTCTTCTGCACACTGAGCAAGCCCCAGAGAAAAACGAACTCTTTCCCAACAGTGCCAGACAGAAATGCGTGGGTCTCCCCGACCCGCCTCTCGGGGCCCCGTGGCCTGCGAGGGCCGTCAGAACACCACCTGGAAGAGGCAGGGTAGGTGGGCGTTGGACCACTGTCCGACTACGGGCCAGCGTGGCGTGAGCCCACACGGGGCACCCTCTTCGAGCACAAGTACCTGGCTCCCTTTGGGAGTGCACCTGGGTCCACTTGCCTCCTTCGCTGGAATTCCTCACCTCCGAGCCCACAAGGACTTTGGCAGGGACTCACTTTGGGGACTGCGTCTGTGAGAGACATCCGGCCCTGGCTGGCTCCCCGAGTCCCAGAGGCCTCGGCTTCCCAGTGGGTCGGGGGGGGCGCCCAGACTCCGGAGCACCCCCGCCTTTGTCCCCGGTCCCGCAGTGCACGCCGGTGTCTCGGACCGCCTGGTTCTCACAGGAGATCGCGTCAGTTCCCCGGAGTCTTTCCCTCTAAGCCTTCCCCCTTTTCAAATAAAAAGCTCTCCTGACTTCAAACTGAACCCACCCCTGAGTTACAATTCTAAACCACTTTTCATTTGCAACTGCTGGAAGGATGCTGAGAATATCGCTGTATCGTTCGTTCCCCAGCTGAAATCTTGTCTTTGGTGTTAAGACCATAGAACTCAAATCACCACTATTCCCGCCGGTTCAAGTCTGTTTGGGGCACATGCTGCCCTCCCAGCCACACCCTCTTATAACCGAGCTCCTTCGGCCCAAAGCACCCCCTTTGGGGCCAAGCAGGAGCGTCACCCGAATGTGGGGTGCACCTCCGGACTGAGTGGGAACCTGTGTGGATTTGTTGGGGAGTCATGGCTGTCTTCACGTCCACGCAGCTAGTTGCTGGAGTTGGTGACCATGGAGGTGACTCCGAAACTGGTCCTCCGTAGCAGCTCTGGCCTTGAAACACGTCTGGGGACCCAGAGGCTGCAACATTTCAGAATCATGCGCAGTTCCAAACAGTGCCGCGCCTGAAAACACTCAGTGGACCGAGACCGCCCGAGCTCGGCCCGGCTGCGCACAGCCACTCCTGGTGTCTCACAGCCTCGGTGTGTCAGAGACCCCCGGTGCCCACCAGTGGGGCCCACCAGTGCCACGTCCCCTCTCCCCCGGGGCCCAGGCCGCACTGCATTCCCAAGCTCCTTGCAGTGAGGTGGCAGGTGCCATGTGGCTGAGTTCCGGCCTATGAAATGTGGGCAGGAAGCCCTGTGGCAGACCCCAGGGCCCCAGACAAAAGCCTGACCCCTAAATCACTGTGAGGAGCAGAGTATACCCCTCCCCGCTCTCTCCCCCCACCTTAATGACATCAGACTGTAACGTGAGGGAGGAATTCAGCTTCAGCGTTCTGAGTCACTGATGTTCTGAAGTCAGCCTGATTCAGCAGGCATTACTATCTTTTGCATTTTATGATTGTTACATCCTCTCCTCTCAAAAGAAAACGAGAAACATTTAGGGAACGCTTGCGTGCTGCCTGGAAATGGCTTAAGTAGTGGGCAGTCCAAAAGGAAGTGTGTATCTCTGCCCTCCGGAGCTCGGCCCGGGTCCTGGGCACAGACCACTGGGCCACTGGTCCATTATAGTCCATTATAGGACAGGGTGCTTGGGACAGACACTGACCGGGTGCTGGGCAGGCAGGAAGGGGTGCTGTTTGGGTTTGGCAGCAAAGACGCTGGGGCGAGGACAGGCGAGGACAGGTGAGGCTGCAGACAGAGGTCGCTTGAGCAAAATCTCAGAGACCAGAGTGCTTGCTGAGTCTTGTGAGCCCCTGGGCCGGGGAACGCAGGCAGGCCGGGTCTGTCAGGGCCTTGCCCACCAAGCTAAGGGGTGTGCTCTCCAAACCCTTCTGATCTTCACCCCATCAGTGAAAACTTTAAAAAGTCCTGGCTGGGTAGCTCAGTTGGTTAGAGCATTGTCCTGATACACCCAGGCTGTGTAATCCCTGGTCAGGGCACATACAAGAATCAACCTATGAGCCCTGGCTGGTGTGGCTCAGTGGCTCAATGTGAACCAACGGGTTGCTGGTTCGATTCTGAGTCAGGGCACATGCCCGGGTTGTGGGCCAGGTCCCCTTGGGGGGCCCCTGAGAGACAACCACACACTGGTGTTTCTCTCCCTCACTTTCTCCCTATCTTTCTCTCTCTAAAGATCAATAAGTAAAGTTAAAAAAAGAATTAACCGATGAATTCATCAACAAGCGGAAGAACAAATCAACGCTTCTTTCTCTAAAAAAATCAGTAAATAGAAATGTAAAAACCCTTCTCAACAGATGTACCTTTTCATTGATAATGGCGTTACAATATGTACCACACGTATGTATTATTTACACTGCAAACAATGCAGAAAACTGTAGAATGTTAAAGTTTGAGGTGAAAAACGGAACCGGACATTTGAGAGTTTCCAGCCCCACCCCCTGGCTGGCCTTGCGCGCTCCCTCCGATGTGAGCGCGCCCCCCCGGGGTCCCCGAAAGGGGTCAAACCAGGTGCGGCAGGTGCGCCAGCAGGGCCACCTCCCAGGTCTGCGCTTCAGGAAGGTCACCCGGGGGAGCAGCGGCGCCGGAGGACGGTGCGTCCTCGCGCCCTCTGTTGGCGGACGGTGTAACTGCAGGCTTTCCAGACGCATCTGTTTCCGTGTCAGGAAACCCTGAGGGGCGCAGAGGACCCGGGGAGCAGGATTTCCCAGGTGGGGCTGAGGACGTGCCGCTGGATGAGCCCCGGGAGGGGGCAGTGGTGGAGGGAGCAGGGGACCCCAGGTGGGCCACCCTGGGACGCGGCCGTGGCCCCGTGCCTAGCCCCCCAGCACAGCTCTTGGGGCTCCTCTCCTGAGGGCCTCCAATCAGCCGACAGCCTGAAGGGCGCGGGACCTGCGCTCAGAGCCACGGGCCACCTGGCCGGTCTGCGACCCTGGCAGCAGAACCCGCGGCTGACGAGGCTAGTCCTGGGCGCGATCCCGAGGTCCACAGGACCCCTTGCTGAGATTTCCTCTTAATTCTGTGGCCACCTTCTCATCCCCCCATTTCTAGATGCCTGGGGCTAAAAACCGGCTCTCATCAGGGGCTCTAACACCATTTGGTTAAACCATCCTACAGATAGAAAGAAACACATTCTCCCTGAACGCTATTTGCACCTTAGGCCCTCCCTCCACCCTGTCCCCTGTTAGAGGGACGGCGAGGACGAAAGGGAACTCGGGAGGGTGTGGGAAGGGCCTGGAATGGCACTGCCACCTGTCCATGGTTGTGTGTCACCTCCCCCCCCCTGTCCCGCCCCAGCCCAGGAGGAGGTGGCGGCTGCCCTGCACCCTGAGCGCATGGTGCCCACGGAGACACTGGGCGGAGGCTGGAGAGGCAGGTGCAATGGGGCCTTGAGGAGCCTCTGAGGGAGAGGAGCTTCGGCACGTGCCGAACTTAGAGCTGGTAAGTCTGGCACCCACCGGGTGGCAGACGTCATCGTCACGACGTGACTGACTATATTCTGCATGCGGCAGGTCCTCAGGACTGTTCTGTAACTACCAACGTGTGCTTCCCGGTCTCTTCACCTTTTACAGTCGCCATTGGATCGCTTCGCCGCTTTGAGATCAATAATAGAAATGGACTAAAGAGCTCCGACGCGTGTGGACTGGGAACCCACTCAACAGCAGACATACTGAGTTCTGAAGGCATTGGCCTCAGCTGGGGGTTGACTCCACCCCCTAACTTGCTTACTGGGTGCTGGCCCCTGTGCTGGTGCGGTGCCACGCGAGTCAGGTTTCTGACGGGGCCACAGTTTTCCCAGCCCCTAGCTTATGCCTGTCCCATGGAGGCACACGTAAATATTTCCATTGTCCAAATGAATCCCCACCTTAGCGAAGCAAAAATGCACATTACCGGCCCTTTACCTCTCTTTCATATCCTCATATCCCGCCCCCCCCAGAACTGTGGAGTTCATCGTGCTGTCGAGCAAGCAAAATTCACCATCTTCTTCAGCAAGACTCTCAGCGCATGGTGCACCCATGACAGAGAAAGTGCCGTGAGGTTCCATGTGGGGGCGAGAGCATGGGGGTGGGGGGAGACTGCACTCAGCATCCTGTGCCTTGACCGGGAGACTCCATGGAAGCCCCTGGGTGACATCCAGACAAAGTCCTGGGGGCACGTCAGCCTCCTGGAATGCTACCTGTGAGCCTAGTCTAGGTCTGCCGTTCACTCGGGACACCCCTGGGACACTCGTGGGGCACACATGAAACACAGTCACTTGGAATGGGGACGGACAGAGAGCCCCCAGTGAGAGCCCCGGTCCCTGCCCCGGTCCCCCCGAGGGACATGTGAGCAGAGCTAGTGCACACCGATCTCACAGGCGTGTGTGAGCATCACAAGCCGCTGCCCAGATCGCTCTCTCGGGGGGTGGGGTGGGGGGTGGGGGTGCTGACCTGCCCACACCCAACGCCAAAGAGCGCGGTCCTGCAAGACCAGCTCACTACGGGGCCAGCGTTCCGAGTGTGAGGGTGCCAGAGAAAATGAGTCAGAGAAGTCCCTCTGCTGGGAGATGAGATGTGAACAAAGCAGACGGGAAGGCTGGCTGGCCTTTACTATCCCAATTACTTGCTTCCAGAACAACGAAAGGGGTTCAGGTTACTACTTATAGTTGTCCACTAGTACAGCCCCCAAAAGGACCTTGAACTATTTTCTCAAGATGTGAGCGTTACGGTTTGTCCTTTCATCTGTGTTCAACTCTTCTGATGATTAGCCTTTAGAAAAGTAAGAATTAAACATTTTTTATGGGTTTTAGTTACACATGTTGCAACCAAAGGTAATTGGAACCTTGTTGTTTTCTTTTTCTTTTCTATTTTTAAAGATTTTGTTTATTTATCTTCAGAGGGGAAGGGAAGGAGAGAGGGAAAGAAACATCAATGCATGGTTGCCTCTCATGCATCCCCGCTGGGAACTGGCCTGCAACCCAGGCATGTGCCCTGACTGGGACCCAAACCGTGACTGTTTGGTTTGCAGGCCTGTGCTCAATCCACTGAGCTACACCAGCCAGGGCCCTTGTTGTTTTCTTGACAGAGTGTTCAAGGCGTCCTGGGACGAGGCACGGTGGACGTGGGGGGGGGGGGAGAGGCTGGCTGGGATCCTGCAACAGAGAGAAGGCGTCAGGTGGAGTCTGAGAAAACCAGGGGCTTTAGGCCACGACGATGCATCCAGTGGGTCCGTGGCCGGGACGGAGGCACTGCCCTCTGTGAGACGTCTGTGACAGACAGGAGCGGAGGTGCGGGCGCATGGAGCTCGGGGCTGGTGCCCCGGTCTCTCTCAGAGTCTGAATCTCCAGGCGTCCTCGCTGACAGCACCTCTGCAGAGAGAGCCTGGGCCTCTGCCGAGTTGGCCAGGTCTGGGCGAGACCTCGGTGGCAATGGCTTTCCCACGGGCTTGCTCCCTGGTGGGTAGCAGCTGTGCCAGGATGCAGAGATAATGACGGTGGTGGTGGCGCCCCAGTTTACTGTAGGGGGAGGTGGCCTCTTATGCAGCAGCTTCCTGACTGTGGAAGAGGCGCAGATCCCTTGAAGGCCCAAGTCTCTGGTGACTTTCTGAGACCCACAGGAGTCTGCCTGGCCCTCCCGATGACCCGTGAACCCTCTGCACCTCCCAAAAACCCCTTGCTGTTAAACCAGCTGGAGTGGACTCCTGGTCTGTAACCCTCAATGACGGGTCGGTGACTCATCCAGGCCCAGTCAAGGGGAGGGGGAGCTGGCTTGAACTCAGACCCAGGCCGGAGGAGGGTCCCCATCACTGAGGAGCAGAGCAGGACTGGGTCGGAGCCTGGGGCCTCGAGGACACCGCGGAAGCCCACACGGCGTCCCCCGCCCAGCTGGTTAACTACAGAGATAACCAAGAGAAGGTCACCTGTGCACGGAGGGGGCATGTGATAATGGTAGCTCCTGTAATTATGACTCTTTGCCCCATTTTGGTTAATGACGCCAGTGCCTCACCAGATGTCCAGCTGCGTGGGGCCCTGGGACAAAGGCAGGGAGTGTGGCAGCACATGCCCTTCTGGAAGCTTCAAGGTCACACAAACAGCCGAGTCTCTGCATGTGGCATGTCAAATATGCACCCCCCCGTTTTAGCTCTCCCTCTGTGCACGGACCTGCAGGCCGCACTTCCGTTCGCTCTGTGTTAACTGGCTCCCGTAGTCCCATTGGTTTAGGAAAAAGGAGGTGGGCGGGCTCGCAGAACCACACGTTGGTCTCCGTTTGGTTCCCGCTCCAGGGGCGTGGACTGGTGTTTGTTCACTGTGGGCTCGAGTTCCAGCTTTCCTGGAGTAGCTTTGTCTTCTTTCTTCTTTTTAATCGCAAGAGCCACGGAGGCTCCTGATAGCTCATTCAAGTAGTACCCAGTGTTTTGGTAACAGTGAAAAATCTCCACTTAACCTCTCCAACGCGGCCTGCACAGGTAATGTTCATGCACGGCCACATGGGGGCGCTCTTGCCTCGTCTCTAAACTTTACAGCTGCTTTGGTTGGTGATTGACAGGCGGGCTTCCCAAACTCTTTCACAAGGAGGGCCCCACCCCTACCGTTTGCAGCAGCCTTTCCCCACGTACAATCCTCTGAACTCTACGAGGACCCACTGCCTCCAAATCCGTACCAGGGCCTCTGACACCAGCTCTTCAACCTGAGCGACTCAGGGACCACCTTGGTGCCCCCTTTTCTTCCCAGCTCCTTCCGAGACAAGAGCAACACCGTGTCCCTTGGTAGCTGCAGGATCCGCACAGCCCGGCCTCCCTGGTAGCGCTGTGCCCTGAAGTGTGTGGACAGCGACCGGGTCCGCCCACCTCCAGCGGCCGATGTTTCCTTCCTGCTCTTCCTCTGGCTCCTGCCTGCTGCAGAAACGCCTCTGCTCCCTCCGTCCGTCCTGGACGTGAGCCCACCGTCTGCCTGCTCAGCGCCCACCCCAAGGCGCAGGCACTTGAGAAAATGCAGAACGCTGATCGTCCCTAGTCCTCGGCTCATGAGGACCCCGGCGAACACCCGGGCCAGGACCCCAGCCACGACCCACCACCCTTGCTGGCCGCCTCTGCCCACTCTCCTCTCCTGCTCCGGCGCACGCACTCTCCCCACCGCGTCCCCCTTCACGTGAGAGGGCCTTGCTGCTTCCCAGGAGGAGCCGGGTTTCTTACCGGCTGCTCACAGCAGCAAACACACCTCCTTAGCCGACAAACCTCTCAGGTCAGGCACCTCACAGGCACCTGCAGCCGCTCTGGCCTCTCACGCGGGTCACGCGTGCGGTGACCGGCTCTGCTGTGGGTCCTCCCCTGGTCTTTCCCGTTCCTCTAGGAAGTCCCCCCGCGGAGTATTGCCTGACATGCGGGCCCCCACATCTCTGCTTACCCACCCCCGTGGTCAGCCCCAAGATCAGCCCGTCCACTAGAGGTCGCGCTGCGCTGCAAGGCAGGAGGGTCCCGACTCGGACTTACCGGGAAAGGAAGGGAACTCCTGCAAAGAGCACGGTAGCAGGTTCTGGGTTTTTGTTTTCTAGTGGAAGGAAAGCAGCGAGCCCTCTAAGATTACAGGCTGAGGGGTGGGGAGGGGGGGAGGGCCTGATGGTCAGGCATGCGCGTTGGAGGGGAGAGCTCAGATGCTGCTGCTTCGCCGGCCCCTCCCGGGCCCCTTGGTTGGGGCACTGTCCGTGGTTTCAGTACATTGACTGGCCACTTCATCTCTTCTGCTGCCTGCGCCAAGGTCTTTTCTCTCTGCCCAGCCTGGTTGGTGGTTCTGCACGTCTAACCCGGCCTCCGAGCAGCCGCCCTGCGGGTCTGGGCTGGTCAGAGCAGCGGCCACCAGCGGACGCCCTCCCCACGCAGCTGGGCCTTGGATGGCTGCTGCGAGGGGCCGTGGTCTCTCCATCACCCTGGGCATCACATACTGTCTTGCACCACGGAAGATTTTGGAAGAGTTTGAAAAACTCGAAACTTTCCATAATTTGTCCACAAGAATTATTTTGTCAGCCTTCATTCTCTTAAAACCTGCTCCTAGTATAGAAAACTGCTGGGTATGCTCATGTCACAGGTTAGCCTAGAATCTCCTGGCTTTGCGGGCAAGGGGGCCAGGGCCCGACAGACCCACCCACCGGGCGTGAGCAGCTCCCACGTACGCTGCCAGACCTTTGTCAGGGCCAACGGCGAGGCTCCCACGTCCCAGGCAGAGCCACGTCTTCCCACCGGCGCGGGCTCAGAAGCGGAGCATCGGTGCAGTGAAGCCCTTCCTGCGGTGGACACAGAGACACGTTTCAGAGACTCACAGGAGGGGCGGCTGGTTATTTTGAGAGCCATCGCGGTTCGGGTCTGCTGTGCCCCTGAGGCACCAGAGACTCAGCTTTCTCAGCGCACTTGGGCCTGGTCATGTCTGAGGAACTGGCTCCTGCTGCCCCGCATCTCAGGAGACCGATGTGGACCCGTGGTGGGCGTTTGATCGCCTGGCTGGTGGTGTTGGGGGCACAGCCGATGTGGGGCAGGGGCACCGAGGAGGAAGGGAAAACACAGCTAGCAGCTTGTTTACTCAGTGCGAAGAGCTTCTCTTCTAAGACACCCGTCCCAGAGGGAGGGGACGCTCAGGAGAGCTGGGGGACAAACTGGCTGAGGTCTTTGAACAACCAGTGGGGAGGAAGGGGTGTGTTTGTGTCCCCAGGCGGGGAGCCAGTGGTTAGGTAGGGGACAAGCTGGACCTGACCCCTGGGTCCCCACCGGGCCTGAGCTGGCTGCCTGCTGCGCGTGGGGGCTGGAGGCCCCGCTGTGGTGGGTTCCCGGCCACCAGGCAGCTGGAGGGGCAGTGCCGTGGCCCAGAGGACCGTGAGGAGTGCAGTGAGGACTGGGGCTCCACCACCCAACCGGGCACCCACACAGCTAGCGTGGAGGGCCTCGCGGACACAGCAGGGCCACTCGTCACCGTGTCCCACGTTCCCAGTTCATCTCACGTGGCATCTAGCATATATCCGCGTCCTGACCTTTGCCAGACTGTCAGCACCAGGAGCACCGGCTCGGATCCTGCTTCAAACTGCGGAGCTGGGCCAGCAGCCTCCTCCGCACCGGCTCCGGGCCGCGGATTTCTGACCACGGGCTCCCCCTGCTGGCGGCATTGGACTCTGCCAGCATGGGTCTCCAAACCCTGCTGTCTCAAAGGTTGGCCCTGTTGGGTTAGAGGGACGCCCACCCTGGCTGCCACCGGTTATGGCGGACAGTGCAAACTGTTGACCAGAATTTAATATCTCTTGATGGCACTCTCCATGAAGCAATAAGAGATTAATTTTTGGATATGCCAGACTATACATGAAACCAGAAACAAACACCAGCTTCTTGTGTTTGGTGGGGGCGAGGTGGGGGGACTGAACTGGTCAAGAGGTTGATGAGAAAGGCCAGTAGCAGCCCCGTTCCACACGTCCTTCCTCTGATGACTCCTCCTCTCATGGGGCCTTCGAATCTGCAGCGTGGTTTTCTCTCACAAACCCTGCAAGTCCACAGGGGAGGGAACAGCCAACCCCTGGACATCTTGGGTCACTTACTCACCACATGTGTGACTTGCCCAAAATAGTGTTTTTGCAAAGTCATGGAACCCTTCTAGCTCTAGGGGACAAAGTGATGTGGCTGTTTGGTTAGTTAGCAATGAAATTCAGGGTCAGGATTCACAGGGTTTTTTTAAAAGAATCACTTTCTCAGCTTTGTAAATATCATTTTGCAGAGACAGAAAATTCTGTGAATGGGTCCAATTGGTTGCTGACACCAGGATAAAAGGAATCCATTTTCTGATAAGCGTGGCACAATCAACAGGCTACGGCACAGAAACTACACCCTTAGGGGCAAAACCACTAAACGGAACAGCTGAGTCATATGTCTTGTGTTTTGTCAGGTGAGTCATGATCCTGCACATTAATTTTTTAATGTTTGAAAAACCTCAAGTAAACTATGGGATTAAGGAACAACTTTTTACACGGAGACATCATGAGCACGTGCTGTGACAGATGAGTGAGAGGGAAGACCTCATGGGGAGGCCTCTGCTCTGTCCGTCACTGCCGCGGTGACTTCCGGAGATGTGCCTCCAAAGGCAGACGGGCGTCGCCCTGTCCACATCGGTGTCGAAGTTGTCGATTCCCTTCCTCCGATCCACGGATTTTCCCTGGACCCACGATGCACCGCGCCCTTCAGTGTGTGGACACAGAGCAGAGAAAATAACACACTCCCCATGGAGGTTATTCTTCATGGGGGTTGTTTAGGGGCCAGGAAGGGGGGTGTACACAAACAAAATAATTTAGTGAAATGACTATTAGAGTAATTTAAGTCATTTACATATTTTGTGGGTTTTTTTAGTGGATCATGAACTTTTAATCTGTCCTTATTGTTTTTCTAATGTTTTTCTTCTTCTGTTACGGTCCAATATTGAATATCCTGGTTTTTCCTTCATGACTCCAATTTCTGAATGGTGTTAGGCATAGAGCTGACAAGTCGAGAATGCTGTTTCCTCGTGCAACTTACGATGATAACAAGAACAAGCTAATACTGCATGCCCGTCACTGCCCCTGCAAGCCTCTCAGCAGGCCCTGGAGGCAGACGCTGCTCCTGCCCCTGCTTTTCAGAAGTCGGAACTGCAGAGCAGGGAGTGACTTGTCTGCATTCCTGCAGCTGGGGAGCCCTGCAGCCGGGGCTGGAACCCAGTCGGCCTGGGCCAGAGCCCTGCCCCCATCTGAAGTTATAGAGACGTTTTTAAATATTTTCTTCAGAATGACTTAGAGTTCGATGGTTCACATCGGAGTTTTTAGTCCGTAGTTAATTTTAAGCATGATATACTTTAGGTATCCATTCTATGTAACTACGTTCCATGTATTGATATATGCACATAAAATTCTTGTGTACGTGTAAGGTCATTTCTGCTCTCTGTCAGATTCCCCTGGCAGTGGGTCCGCCCTGTGCTGGGACCAGAGCGCCTCCACTGGTCAGAACCTCAGTAAGTGCCTCCCCCCCACCGACTTCGTTCCTTGTCCCAGTTACTCCAGACCCGCGCTCTTCTCCGAAGATTTTAGATTCAGCTTTTCCCATCTCCCAGAAACCCCGTAAGGACTTTTTTAAAATCATGGTTTGCAATAACTCTGCAGAAAAATTTGGAGAGCATTTGTGTCTTGTAATAGCAACTTTTTCTATCGGTGAATATGGAACATACCTCTGTTACTTGAATATTCCTTAATGTCTCTCAATAGACGTTGAGAAAATGTTATGTAACAGTCTTGCACATCTTTTGGTAGCCTGATTAAGCAAAGTTTCATAGAAGGAAGGTGTCCTGGCAACAGAGTCTGCACACCTTGAGTGTGCGCGAGCTCCTTGAGTTCCCAGGATGAGCGTGCTTTCATGACTGGCCCTCAGTCAGGGCCGGAGCTGACCCGCGGCCGCGGAGTCCCCTGCGGTCTGTGCCCTCCCCCTGACCGTCACCGTCCCACCAGTTAACACCCTTGTCAATTCTGCCAGTTTGAGGACTTCACAGGTAGGGAAACTTTTTTTCAATTCTTTCTGCTTCTTACAGTCCAGCTAGTGGCAAGACCCATTCATTTAAATAGTTACAGATGACACATTCTCACCAACTGCTGTATATTATTTCACCTTTGATTTATCCATGCTGCTCTTGGTGGGCATCTGGGGTCTATCCAGTTGTTTTTAATTAATCCTCACTAGGGGATATATATACGTTTTTTGGTTTTTTTTTTCAGAGAGAGACCAGTTTTCTCCCACACACGCCCCCACTGGGGGTTGGACCCACAACCTGGGCATGTGCCCTGACTGGGGAGTCAAACCCACAAGCTTCGATGTACAGGACAGCGCTGCAACCCACTGAACACCCTGGCCCGGGCTATATTTAGTTCTGGATCATTACAAATCGTGAGGCCAGGAACAGTGTTGTGAATGTCCTTTGGTGAACACACATGAGCACGCTTCTGTAGATAGAGTACACACCCAGAAGTGCAGAGGACCTGCCTGCTTCATCTGTAGTGGATCTGGATGCACAGTTTCCTAACACGGTTTTACCCTCCCACCAGGAGTTAATGAAGTTTGGGGATTTTCCCCATCCTTGTCGCACTTGGGCGGGTCTCATTCGCTTTAGTCATTCTGGCAGGTGTGTGACGGTACAGAGCTGGGGTCTGAGCTGACGTTCTCTTGATAAATGACTATTGGATGGATACCTTCCCTGTGAAATAGCCAAATTGCTCATCATTTTGCCCATTTTTCTGTTGGGTTGTCTGGCTTTTTAAAACATCACTTTGAAGGAGATCTTTGTAGAATCTAGCTATGAGTCCTTCACTGATGGAGGTATTTCAAATATCCTCCCACTGGACGGCTTCTCTCCTCATTCTAAACCGTGTCTCCTGATGAACAAAACTTCTTAATTAGCAGGGGTTCTAGCTTACTTATTTTTTCCTTTACTATCTTCACAGTTTATGTGTCAGCTTAACTAAATCTTTACCTACCTCAGTATTGTGGAACCATTCTCCCACGTTTTATTCCAAAAGCTCTATTATTTCACTGGGCTCCTTCATGTGAAATTATCAGTGTTCAAACTACAAAACGAGAGTTTAGTATTTAACATATTTAACCCACTGTCAATCTGGAACCAGTCTCCACGCTCAGTGGGGGGCCGGCGGGAGCTTTCTTCCATTCAACTCGGTCAGTGTCGGCTTTTCACGAACCGGACGACGGTGGACACACCGGCGTCTTCCCTGGTCACTGTCTGTGGCGTTGGGTCATCGCTCGGACTCCCGCATCGGTACCGTACTGTCCCTGTGTCCCCATCCTCCCTCCTTGGAGGTCTCCACAGACAGGTCTTGGCTCATTTTTCTCGAGATTTTAGCCTGTCCTGCTTCCCGGTGGTTGCTTTTTGTATTTTGATGCGCTTTTGCGTGATGCCTTCGAGTTTAGGATTGCTCTGTTTTCTTAGTGAGTTGGATTTTACATCAGAATGCTACTTATCCTCTTTATTGTTGTTTTGTCTGTAATTAATATGGCTATTCTAGATTTTTTGGTTTATGTATTTTTCTGGTGTATCTTTAATCCATCGTTTTCCTTTGAGAATTTCCTTACCCATGTGTTTCATATTTATCTTTTGTCAATAGTGTGGCTAAGTTTTTAACCAATCTGTTTTAATGTGAGACTTTGATACACAGATGTTAACGTCAGTATTAGTGTGTCTAAATTTGTTTTTATTGTTTTGCTCCACAAGGGACCTTTATAACCGCCGTCACCTCTTCTGTTTTCATCCGCAGCTTCCCAGGGTGTGCTCTGCCGGGCCTGTGGGCACAGCTGTCTGTGTCACGATGTGACAGTCACACATCGGAAGCCTTTTCTCTGGATGGTGAGTCCTCATTGGACAGGGGCTTCCTGGCAGCCCATTTCCAAGCCGACCCCCCCCCCCCCCCGGCCCCAGACAGAGCCCCACACCAGGAAGGCTGGCGGATGCGAGGCCTAAGGAAGCCGGGCCGGGGCTGGCGATGGTGAGGCTTCTGACTGTAGTGTCACAGCAGAAGGAAGCGCCACGGTGATGAGGGGAGCGGCAAAGGGATCTGATCGTGAGCTACACCTGGCTCCCTCCTCGCTCCGTTCCTCTCTAGCTCAGGTTCCAGGACATTTCCGCAGGAAAGCGGTGCTCAGTTACGTTTTCTTCGAGTCTCCGAAGTACGACATTGAGGACAAGATGAGACTTCTCCCGGGGGAGTTTCTTTGTGACCCGGCCTGAAAGGGATGTGGCGCTGTGGCTGTTCCGTGCGCTGGGACGGCCTGGGCATGGGGTAACGTGCCTCCTCCAGCACCAGGTGGCGCACTTCCCTGAAAGCCACACCCCCCGGGGGGCGGAGCCTCTCGGACTTTGGCGCCACCTGGAAAGCCGGACAGGCTCCTGCTCACAGGGAGGAGCCAATGCACCGTCCCCCGGCCTGCGACTCAGTCTGTGCCCGGGAAGGGCGGGGACCAGGGAGAGAGAGCAGGTAGCGCGGGGCCTGGATCAGGATGGAGAGCGGCGCTCTGTCCTTCTTATGAGGGTCCGTGTTCGGACTCTCTGCCTCCATCACGGGGACTGGGGCCAAGGGCCAGGCAAGGTGGCTTTCTGTGTCCACGTGACTCAG